GCGCCACGCGGCGCGGGCGGGGCCGGCGGCGCCAGCGCCGGCGCCGGCGCCGGCGCCAGCGGGGCCGGGTGCGGGGGTGCGGCCGGCGGCCTGCCGCGGTCTGAAACTTCTCAATGGTTTGGGCGGGATGACGAGAAGGGCTGGGCCCTGTGCATGCACCACCTGCGCGGCAAGTGGCCCGAGGCGCCGCAGTTTGAGGACCGCATCTGCATGTGCCGCATCCAGCGGCGCGACCAGCCACGCGGCGGCGGGGGCGGCGGCGGCGGCGGCGGCAAGCGGGATCGCGGCGGCGGCGGCTCGGGCGGCACGCATCGGAATGACTATTACTATCGAGTCGGGTCTCAAATCTATAGGTAAGGGACGATGCCGCACGCAGGATGCTTGGGGGCTGCGCTGATGGCAGCTTTCCACGTGCGCACCCGCTCGCACTCGGCTGCACAGCTCGTGCACACTGGGCCTGGGCAATACCCCCAGCCCTGTCCGGGAAAGATTTGTGAGCGGCAGCTGTTGCACTCGCCCTCCCCCCCTCCATTCTGCAAGCATCCCAGGACGCTGCACTTCACTCTCTCCTGCCCGCCCGCTCAACTAAAACCCCACTCTTCACCTCCCTCGCCACCTCTCCCACCCCAATTTCCGCTTGGTCGAACCCCAACCCAGCGGTCCCCGCCCCACCCCCCACCCGATCTGCAGGTCGATCAAGGAGCTGCGCACCCAGCTGGAGGGCCCCGGCGTGCTGTCCTTTGACGACATCCCCTTTGACTGGGGCTTCGACTGGGCCACCCTGCCCTACATCGACTCCGAGTTCCTCGACCTGTCAAGGTTTGAGCTGTCCGAGGCGTGCATGGCCGAGGACGACGCGGCGGGCGCGCTGGTCGCGATCAGCGGCGACCCCGCCGGCCGCGGCGGCGGCGGTGTGGGCGGCGGCGCGGAGCAGCCAGAGGTGCGGCCGTGGAGCTTCACGGGCTATGATGATGAGGAGGAGGACGAGGAGGAAGAGGAGGAGGAGAGGGCGTATGCGGCGGCAGGGACTGCTGGCGAGCGGGCCGTGTTTGCCGAGATGTGCGCCGTCGCGGACGCCGCCGCCGCGGGCGCCGCCGCCGCCGCTGCCCGCTGTGGGGTCGGGGCTGGCGCCACGCCAAGGGGCGAGGCGTCGTCGGCAGTGTCGGACGGCACGGGCGCGACGGCTGGCGGCGGCGGCGCGGGCGACGGCGCGAGTAAACTGAAGGCGACGCAGGAGGGGGCCCCTACAGGCAGGGGACCTAGCAGCGGCGACAGTCGCGCTGCAGCTCTTGAAGCACAGGTGCCGTGTTGCCCCGGCGCAGAGGGACAGCAGCCATGTCAGCAGCAGGAGCAGCGGCAGCAACAGGGGCACCAGCAGCAACAGAAGCAGCAGCAGCAGCAGCAGCACCAGGGCCATGCAGAGCAGCAGCAAGTTCAGGGTGGTGAGGAGCAGCCGGACGCACCAGCCATGCAGGTGCCCGAGGGGCCTGCCTGCTCTCCTGGTGCGCCTGAGGGGCCCCTCTCCGCGCCCTGCGGTGATGATCAGCGCGCTCACCCCTCCATGCTGGTCGCAAAGCGCACCTGCTGCGGCCCAGCCAAGCGGTCGCGCGGCCCCGTGGACTGCAGCGGGGCGCCGGCGCCAAAGGCCGCGCGTGGGCTGCTGGATATCAGCCGAGCAGAGGATATGGCGGCATCAGCAGGGGCGGCGACGGCGATGACAGTCACGGATGCAGGGGCAACACAGACCACAGGGTGTCCTGAGCACCAACAGCAGCAGCAACAGCAGCAGCAGCAGCAGCAGCAGCAGCAGCAGCAGCAGCAGCGGCAGCACGAAGAGGAGCAGTGGCAGAAGAAGCAGCAGCAGCAGCAAGTCACTGGCTCGGTCAACCGCCAGCCTCTGTTCGCTCAGGCCCACGAGCAGGCCAAGCAGCAGCAGCAGCAGCAGCAGCAGCAGCAGCAGCAGCAGCAGCAAGAGCAAGAGCAAGAAGAGGACGACGAGGAGGAGGAGGATGAGGAGGAGGAGGAGGAGGGGGAGCAGCAACAGCACACAATCGGCATGTCAGAGCGTAGCAGCGGCGGGCTGGCAAGCCAGGAGGGCGGCGTGGTAGATGAGGTGCAGATGGCAGACGCTTGGGAGCAGCCTATGGTGGCTTGCGCGTGATTGTATCCATCTGCAGCAATGCAAATTCACATGTGGCTAGGCAGGGTTGCTTGTGGAACCCAATGGGGGGGGGCTGGCAGCGCGGCGCAGGCTGGCTGGCTGCTGGAGGCTTTACGTCACTGCATTGCGCCACCGGCATTGTGGTGCAGAAGAAGAATGGCCTGTTTTGGTCTGGTTTGTACATCACATGTGGGCCCCACCTGGGCATGTACACGCATGTAACGGTCACTTGCTCCTTGTCCGACGGAGGTGGGGTACTGTGTTACTGACAAGGGCCGCAGCGCCGCCGCCTTTGCGGCCCTGCAGGCCGCGTTCGAGACTTTCTCTGACCGGGCGCACCGCGCAATGTACCACGCGCACGTGCGGCGCGCGGCGGCCGTGGGGCCCTGGCGGGGCGCGGGGGGACTGGCAGGGGAGGAGCATTTTGAGGTTGGTGACGGCTTTCACGGGTTTTGGCTCTTGGTTCTATTGCCTGACACTGTTTTGGGCGCCTCGCCGTGATGCTTCATGTGACACCCCCAATTGCAGCCACAGCCCATTCAGCAAGTTGGGCGGCCCCGCCATCGAGGTAGTGCTGCTGTGCCGGATCCCAAAGCCGCAGCCACAGCCACAGGCCACTACAGCCACTTGCTCACTAAATGACAGCTGGGCTGCCGCCCCGCCAGCCATCGCCCATACTTGTCCCCACGCTACTCAAACAGCTCCCAAAAGCTGCGAAGGGCAGGCTGTGCAAGACTTCAAAATGTACTTCTACATTTTACAGCTGCACGCCTCACCGGGTGCAGGTGTGCGACGCGCCCCGCCGCGCTGTGCCCGCTGCCGTCAAGCGAGATCCTGCAGTCACACTGAAAATTGACCAGGCGACCTTCATGTATGCAACAATTAGATTCCAAATGGACAAGTTTGCTGCAAGTTCGTTAGCCTTGATTGTCATGTCATACCTACCCTGTGCTTTCGATAGTGTACAGCATCGAGCAGTTTGTTGGCAGTGGAGACCTACCCAAACAGCTCTTGGGGTGGGCCATGTGGCCCTGAGATAGAGGTTTTGTGCACATCAACCACACACAGTGCTTGCTAGTTTGTTGCACAGTGCATGGTACTGATGCCCAGGCTGGGAGCGGGTGGCTGTAAGTGTCATAAGCGCAAGTGCCATGCGGTGTTTGGGTGGGGGTTGCAGCAATTGCGTCCCTGAGAACTCAAATCCTATCAAACGCCACTGCAGAAGCTGGTGATCAGGCGGATTGGACCACCAACAAGCAGGTGGTAACCTTGCTCACGCTGACCAGGTCCCGACAGGCATGTGCGCTCTTGCTTGACCGCTGAACCCACCAAGCACGCCATAACCCAACCCAGGCGCGACGAACCCACAAGAGAGCGCATCAAGTACACAATCGCAAGCAAATTGGTATGCTGAAACCAGTGCGGGCCTTGCCAATTCGCAATTGCCCCTGGGGCACATTCAAATGTGGTTCGACAGCTCAAGCTTGCGTCGGGGCCCGGTATCCCAATAACACAGTACGATACGCTCTCGGTTGTTTGGTAACCGAACCACTCTACACATGCGAAGGCAGCACGTGAATTTCGCCTCACGACCTCCACTTGCTGGCCCTACGTAAGCTCTGATAACACGATGTCAACTTTCTCCCTGCAACATTTCATCCCTGTAGCCCCCTTGATCGGAAAGGACAGTATGGAGCTCGCCGCTGCGGAAGGCGCAGGCGCCAAGCTGCATGGCGCGAGCAGCAGCGGCACGCACGGCGTAGAGGCCATGCCCGCGGTGGAGCAGGCCAGTGGGCTAGCCGCGAGCGACGCGGACCTGGAGGCCCCGCCGGCGCCCGCCGACAATACCGGCCGCTCTAGCGCAGACGGCGGACTCATCGCCGCCGCCGGCGCCGCCCCCGAGGCCCCTCTCGCGGCAGCGGGGCCCGCGGCGTCGCCGCCGGGGGCCGGCCCCTGGGACGAGGTGGGGTGGGAGGGCCGGGGCCGGGCATGACGCCGTCTGATCCGCGTCAGCTCGCGCGCCCATCGGCCGCCGTGCGCGCCGCGCCGTCTGATCCGCGCGCAGCGCGCGGGCGCCTGCCCCTGAATCCGCAAAGGCAGCCGGCGGTCACAGCCAGCAGCCCCCCACCCCCGGGCCCCC